TACCGCCTCATAATGGATAGGAGGTGTTCCTGGGTGTCGAACTGCGATGTACAGCGGGGGAATTCGTCTCCCCGGTAGGGTCTCCCAAGCTGAGAAGGAGTCCGGCGTTTCCATCAAGAAGCCTAGTTAAGAGTAAACCAATAACTGGAACCACCACCATCCTGGTATCAAATTAGTTGCATGGTGGCAAATATCCCGTTGATCTACAACAGCGGCGACTGTTTGTGGTGGTGACGACCCGAGCAGACTTTGGTTAAGCAGACCTCGGGACTCCAGGGAACCACAATGGCTTAAACAACAAATCTCTGAAAAATGTTGATTATGCTGGATCTCGCACAACCAGTGAGGACGGGCCGTTCAGTTGTCAAGTAAGTATCAAGTGTTAGGCCAAAGATAAGCCCTAAGCAACCGACATTTGGATGACCCCGTCATCTAATTGCTCTGTGTCTGTCTTCCTGCTTTTCGTTTCTTCTAGGGTGATGACACTGAATTTGATGCCGACTAACGCTCTTAAGAATTGCGTAAAGAGTAGAGTCTCACAGCAATGTTTTGGTTTTACAGGTGCAGAACACATAGCATTAGCCATGGCGTGTCGTGAATGTGCTCAGTTTGTCCGGTTTCAATCCTATGCTACACGAAATTTAAGCAAATCTCGTCGACTGTCAGCCGCTCCACGTCGTAGGCATGAGAGCGCAGCCTACAAGGTACAGAGGCTTGCTGGTTAAACTATTTGTGACTCCTTGGGGTACCAAAGATCAATTACCTGGAGCTTTCCCTTGTGTTGCCACGTGTGTGTGGCGATTCTTGTCGTTCAGAGAATGAGCAATCTTAATCACGATAACGAGGTAGACCATTGGAGGGCACATGTTCAGTAGAAAAGATCTAATCATACAATAAAGCAAACGTTTCCACTGAAATGCTATTGTGATGCTTTGAATACAGTAGGATTTTAATTGTCTCCTTTAAAGCTTCTCTTCGGTGATCCGTTAGGCAATCGTCTTCTGTTTTCCTTCCAGATGCTAACCAATGCTCGATTTTTTTCTAGATCGTATCAGGTCTTGACCAATGACGTTCATATATCACTATCAAAAATCAAAATCTACATGACACCCACTTAACCGCCTATGACCACCATCAGTTTTTCAGAAATATTCTTACTGGAAAACACTACGAATCTTTATGCGTTGAGGCCTGAGACGCACAAAATTTTGCTAACTCGATCATAATGCTGCCGATGTTGATCTTTCTGAAAAGCTATTCTAAAACCGCCATTTATTACTAGCCGTGTTAAGCATATTGCAGCAGAATCAAGCATTCCTTTTCCTCTCCTCTCTTATTTTCCAGAAATTTGCAGAAACAGTCTACGTGGGACTAAATAAAACAAAGCTACTGAAATTGTCACTTCAATTTATAATCTTTTTGGAATATTATTAGAAAAAATAGAAGGAACATATTGCTTCGCAAGGTCAGAAACTCGTAACTTTCATGAAAGAATGGAGTATAGGAACGAAGATGTTCATCTAATCGGTCAGTCCCATTCTGATGGGCAAACCACATGATCCCTACATACTATCCCTTTCAAAATGTAGCAGTACAAAAACGTTTGCCTAAGAATGGCTTGGCGGCTCTCCAGCTCAGACTATAACTGCTACTTTTCTCACCAATGTCACTGTTCAAGATGTGTGCATTCCCAAAAGTATTGCAGAGGTCGTAAGATTCGAAAGGCAAAGACCAAAATTTGAAGGTAAACGTCTGTCTTCCATTGTCACCTTCTAGTGACTTGCAACTTTATCACGTGATTTTAAGGACAGACAGTTATTCGTATTAATGAGTATTCGATCAGGTTAAGACGACATTTCCTTTCCAATGAGAGTAAATCTTCGCACTTTATTTAAATCGGCCTGAACATGAATCTCATACAATGGAATGGGAACAACATAGTATTTGCTTCTTATTTCCTCAAGTTCACATTATGTTCCTCATGAAATCATCGCAAAATCTTAATCATCTTCTTGGTTTTTTTTAAAACATTTATTCCAAATCAGCCGTTCTTGGTCGGAATAAGTTGCATTGCTGCCAGACTATGTGGTGCATGCTTAGGGAAGCGGATAAGGGACTAAGTAGGCTAAAAGCGGTCTTCGGTTTTTCACAAATTTCAGGTTGTTATTGTTGACAGAAGAATGAAGAAGAGTAAAGCACTAGGCGTTGATAGATCTCTCAGGAGAATGCCACACTTATTTCGAAGAGGCTAGCAAACACATACACATACACCACACACACACACACACACACACACACACACACACACACACACACACACACACACATACATACACACACACACACATACACACACACGCACGCACGCAGACACATATACACACATTTGCTAATCAGTCATCATCATTACTACTACACTGTTAAATGTGATGTACGAGATGTGTGTGATGATGCACGAAACTAACAGTACAACGATGATATCATTTTTAAATGGCTGCGATCTTGAGAAACTGCCGTGCTAGTCCATCTTAAATGAGGGGTTCAATTCCTGACTCTGATTGCAATGTAGTAATGAGGAAGCAGTAAAGCAACAGGCAACAAGCCTTACTTTTGAAAAACGGAAACAGAACAAAGACAAATAGACACAATCAAACAAACATGCAAATACAAACAAACAAATACAAGTAGTGGCACTACATGTATGGCACTTCTTGAGCAACGTCAAGAATTTCATATGCTGTTTTTTTTGCATGAAGTCAGGCAGGTTGAGAAGAAAATTGCTCTTAGTTCTGTTGTTTTACGTTCCCATGTTATAGTTATATTGTGATTTTATTAAAAGTGCACGAAGCACTATAACAACGAAAATACCGACGTCTGTCGAAGGTCTTTTCATTTCTACTGATCGGCACGTGTCAAAAAAGAGATCACTCAACAAACATTGTGATTATAACTAAGCCTCAGCTTAACTGGATTCAATGTCTATCTGTGCTCCCCAAATCATTCTCGTGACCGGTGATTGCTAACTACAACGCTAGGGTGAAAATTTGGCAGAGAGAAAGGTAAAGCAAAGGCAGGCCTCTGTTGTATTGTGGCTGCCACGTGAGCCACGGAAAGGATAATTTCTGGCTCAAAGTTGGCTTAGTGTTCTGAGTTTTGGAAATATCTCACCGTGGTGGGGTTGTATTTCACATGATACTGTTCCAGGAAGAAAATAAGAGGCAGCTAATAAAAACAAAAACGGTTCAACATTATTCACTGAAGTATTCATTGATCAACGCATATTCTGGACACAACGCTTCAATGAGATTTCATTAAACTAATTTTTGTGGCTCAATTTAGACAAGCACGTGAAGGAGCCGAGTTTTGACGGAAAAGGACGGAAAATAAAATGCGGTTAATATTATTAAAGAACTTTGTTATACCTTTTTTATTTTCTGCTTACTATAATTTCGCAGCAGGGTACTAAGCGAAACCCGCATGGTGTAGTGGTGAACGCGTTACTCCCCGGAAAGGACAATAGCGCGTTCGTTCCCCACCATAGACACCTGCCGTCCAGAGTTTTGCAAAGGACTTTGTGTTATTTCTGATGGCATCGCAAACAGTCTAGCGTAAACATAAACATAGATAGATAAACAGTTTCGTAGAAGCGTAGAGAAAGTCTTCTATAATATGCATAGCAGGCTGCTACTGCCACCGTAACCACCGAGCACCTTGATGTACAATGCCATTGTTCACCAACCCGAAGTCGGAATTCGTGCCTGCGTGAATGGAAGTCGGAGAGCCGCCAAACCATTCTTAGCCAAACGTTTTTGAACTGCTACATTTTGAAAGGGATAGTATGTAGGAATTATGTGGTTTGCCCATCAGAATGGGACTGACCGATTGGATGAACATCTCTGTTTTTATACTACAATCTTTCATGAAAGTTACGAGTTTCTGACTTAACGCTTACGTTAACTTGACTGATTTTTTTCATATTATGTTTGAATTTAAAATCAGCACGGATAAAGTCAACTCGATTCACCGAACCTCCTTGAGTCTCAGCATAAGACGACTGGTGCCTCGTTCATTCACAGTATGCGGACAGCGAATATCGACATTCCTTCCTTCTTCTGCGTTTTCACCTTCTTCTCGGTGTATTTTCCGATCTGATGTACCAATCCGATACTAACTCCTCCCTTGATCATCCGCTTTTCTGTTTCTACCTGATCGACCAATTGGACTGATGTTGCTTATCGATATGTTAATGTACGAATGCAACCAAATCCTAAACGTTTAATGTTTGGAGAATGCGAATTCGAGTGTTTTGGCTTCGGAAGTCGGCTTCGTTTTCCTTCCAAAAATGCGAATTCTTAGGTCCAGTGCAGTGTTCCTAGTTTCTAACACAAGACTTCTTTTAGAAAGAGATGACCGCACAAGAGAAAAACTGCGTTGCCGGTTAAAGTTGGATCATCTGCAAAAAGAGACATTTTTACAAATGAAACGTCCTATCTCCAAGAGTGCTTGCCAAGTTGGAGACTTCGGTGGCGCAACCAAATCATCTTAGTTTCCCGGTTTTTAATCGTACGGTGGCCATGCGGGGCAAGTCGATTATTTCAATTTTTATCGCAAAACTCTTTCTCGGTGTCATCATGGGCGACTTCGTGCAGTATTCGAGCTTTATTTTCGGTCCAAAGGTTAAGTATTCTTCCTTCTTTTTCATCTTTATTTAACCTGTGGAAAAAACGGTACGGGAAGTCTTCGACGTATTACTGAAATCGCAGAGAGAGCATAAGCAAGTCTTGATCCTTAACTGTTCTTTGACGTCAGAAATTGCAGGGATGCTCCACTGTGCCTAATTATCAAGGAATTTTTCTAATGATAAAAGATTTTTTTCAGCGATTTTCACTCATAATGGACTCCTCTATTATTTTGTTTATTAAAAGTTGTGCTCATAATATTTTTCATCGTTTAGAGTTGTTTTTAAGCAGACAATATCCAAAACGTACTGTTTTCTGTACTCAAGTTCCCACATCTCCGAAAAGTCGCTGTCGAGACTCCCACTGGAATTCACTAGTAATCCGGAAACCGCCGAACACATGCACTGGAATCACTGCAGCACTCCTCTGACTCAGCTGTTCTCGACAACAAAGTTGTTCTGCTCCTAAATCGACTCTACTTACATGTTCATCATTACGTTACCAGTTCAATTCACTCGCCTTTCTTGCTTGTTGTTCGTTCGCCGCAGTTGTGAATCGCAGGCAACTCTGTCACCATGCCACTAGTTTGCGGTGGTGATACCATTGTTGGTTTACTCTTAGCTTGACTTCCGAATGGAAACCTCGGACTTTATCTCAGCTTGGGAGATCCTACCGAAAGATAAACCTCACGCTGTACATCGCAGCCCAACATTAGGAACACATCACTGCTAGGATGGGTTGGTAAATTTTTGGAACGATTTTTTTGGTTAGAGTTCAAGCTTAGAAGAAGCTCGAAATCTCACTGAAATATTGAAACAATGATGATTTTTACGGTCAGTTTCCAGATAGTTCGAAAATTTTCGTACGGAAACATGAGACTTGATGAAGTTAACTTTTTGAAAACAACTCCTAGTCAAATGGGACGCCGCAGAAAGGCTAAAAAGTGGATTTCGCACGAAATGAGTGGAGAGCAGCCGAACTGCCATTATAAAATGCAATTTCTTGATCCCTCCCATTGTAATGTACTATCTAAAATGAATCCAGTTGACGACTAACGACGTACAATTCAGTGATTGGATCGTGATGATTCAGGCATTTCGGAAAGCCGAATATGCATCAAAATTTGACTACGGCCACTGTATTATTCTCGGAAGATAGAACGATCTAATAAAGAATATTGAATCTTAGCAGAACGACCAAAACAGCAAATTCCTGCCCCGGAATTGCAGAAATCCTGTAGAAATTGTATCGAGAGCTGGTCAGAAGAAAAAGTCCTCACTTCTTTGAAGACATCACTTAATCGTACATCACATGCAGAGAAATTTAAATGACTTCAGAAACCCTGTCTCGCTTGCCGAACTCTTCGGTCTACAAGCTCTGCCATATTTATTAGACAAGAAAATCTCCAACCAAACATCTACTGGGAAGTTGTTCTTATTCTGACTAGGGAAGCGTGTAGCTCTGCTTTGTAAAGTGGTATTCGTTAATCGTTATTAAATTGCTTTTCATTGAAATCCGAATATTATGTAGAAGGCCATATTTTTTTTCATTTTATTTGGTCCGTCTTCACGTCTACTCTGGGGATCTCAGCACTTCTCGTATCCAATCCGTTTCCTCGCCTCGCATCACACATCCACGAAGGTCTTCCAAGTTTTTACGTGGGGCTTCGGTTGCTGCTTGAGGATTTTCATTTCATCTTCGATTTCGTAGAATGGCCGTCGAGCAATTCTCTCTGGAGTCCTGAGATAGCAGGGCAGGAGCGTTCCCAAATGGATTGCAGAGAGTGATTTTTCCCAGAGAAGTCCGGTACCAATTCCTGACCCTGGAGGGAAAACAGGATTGGTTGATCCGGTGTGGGATCGAACCAGCATCATGGTCGTGATGACTGGAAACTTTAGAATAGGGAAAGAAGAACGGCCGTACTCGATAAGCGTTCCAAGTTTCAGACCTCGACTATCTTATTTGGCGATGGATTGATTATTAGCGTAGGCAGGCATAATTAAAGCTTATCTATTGCTTAAGATTTCATCTCTCGTAGCAATATGAGCTATACATAGCTCGTACGCGGATGGTAGGATATTTCGAACTCCATGAGTCATATTTGAACCATTTCATTCCAAATATTCTCTTATCGCGTAAACTTTTTTCTGCTGTGCATTTCACACTAAATCGATAATTTTTAAACCGATATCGATAATCGATAGCTCCGCTAACATAGATGATATACCCAATGAGGTCAGAAATCTATTTGTTTGCACATTATAATTCATAGGAATCAATTATTGTATAACAATTCCATCATTTTTATTTCACAGCAGCCATGTCCCTCACAGTCAATTTTTAAAATTCCAGATCCCTTACTTTTCGTAATGACATTTCACTCTTATCAAGTTGCAATAAAGTACGAGTTTGCCGAGACGAGAGTACGAGAGATGTGTAGTCACATTTCCACAACTTCGTGTGTACCCATTTTATTGCTGTCTTCATTTACACTATCCCCACATGTCCTTCAGTTGGTACCAAGTCTAACGTTTATCGTATAATCAACAACTAGAGTTAGAGCTTCTCAAGATCGACGTCTAGTATGGGCCTGCGTGTTGTCACCTTGACCCGTCGGTACGTACTGGCCTTCGGTCTGAAAATTTTTTGCTCACAGGTTGCCACCGCACCATTTCCATCACGATAACATTCCTAACCCAATAGGAAAACAAACAAACAAATATTAGGAATCCCATAGTGTTCTGTTCGGGAAAAAACCCATTCGTCGAACTGCTTACGTGTTCGAGGTGCATTGCGTAAAAAATACGTCCACTAGGTTCGAGAAGAACAGAACTTCAACGTAGGAAAATAAGACCACTTCTTCCTTTTAGAGAAGGACCTTCAAATTCTAATGGTTTTGATTTCAATAACCAATGCCAAACATAAGCTGCGATGTGCCAGTTCAAATTGAAAAGCGACCACCACCAGAGCCCCAAATATATCGCACTGAATGCATGACGGGGATAACGAGTTAAGTGAGCCATCACCATTCATCTTCATGCGAAAATCATAAATTATTTACTCCTTTGCACTAATGTTTTCGCTTGCTGTTATAGATCGGTGACGCACCTTTCCTCCATCCAACAGAACGCTCCCAAAGCCAAATATCATTCATAAACGAAACCACTTCCAACAATTGTGCAGCCAGTTCCATGTCATCAACACTCTATAACACACAATGTCGCTTATTTTAAAGATAAAATTAACGCAAACTAACCATGTGAGTAGCCGACAAGGTAAAATTTTCGAAGAGGAACACAATTTTAGGTGCCTTCGCTCTAGAAATTGATATGTTGCACTCCCTAACAACAGTGCCACTACTCTTGACGAATCGAAGAAATGGCAAATGAGTTTTGGTGAAGAGATCCACCAAGAGTTCAGAGACGAAATGTTAATAAGAGCAACTCCAAAATTACGACCTTCCTGGGAAACAAACGCTCACCTGCGTGTGCTCTGCCTCCTCCTTCCGCATATCTATATTAATACAGTAGTTTTTAACAACTTACGTTGACGGGCTCCCTCATCTCGAAAAACGTGGAGCATTAATTTAAAAAATACTAAGGTGAAGCAAACTCACCTTGGATACAACCACAACGTTGCTGAGATATTTGCAAAACTCTGGACCGCAGGTGTCTATGGTGGGGAACGAACGCGCTATTATCCTTTCCGGGGAGTAACGCGTTCACCACCACACCATGCGGGTCCTTTGTTTCGCACGTCTCTCAGCTATTTCACCTTGGATAGTTGATTTCGCTGCGTTTATGCAATTCCTTCTCCAACAATGAACAACGTAGGGCACAAGCAAAGTCTACGAAGTGTTTAGAGTTTGTTATAAATGAATAAACATAAGTGCGGTATAGGGTTTTTAGCATTATAAGGTTAACCTTTCATTGTTTAGAAACTTACTAGCGACCATCCAATAGATCAAAAGCAAATCGTCGGCTTTTGAACGAAGGTGCAAGTAGAGCGACGTCAAGCGAAGATGACCTGGAAATCTCAACTCGCAGGTGTTCACTCAATTGTAGCAACGCGTTGAATAAAATATAGGAAGCGTATAAAATTCATTCAATTATTGGTATTGGACACTTATATTACACGCGCGGCTGGATACCTATAAAAAGACGTCAGATAGCATTTCTTAAAAGAGTTCTCATGTCAGTTCGGAGGAACGAAGAAACAACTATGCGTCTAAGTGTGGAAGAAGAAATTTCATAGCTTGAAAAGCTTACAAAGGTCCTCACTGCTCAATGATTTTGAAGGCATTAAACAAAAGATAGAAGGTCCAATATGAATAAACGCTAAAACCTGGGAATTACAGCGACATTCCAGTGTCGCCAGTTTACACGAAATCAAAAGCTTACAAGCGGTAGTGCCTATAGCATGAGATGTGGGTGCCTCTACCACTGAATTTCCAATTTATCGAATGCCATTCTGAAATCAGACGTAACCCTTGGAAAAAAACCGTAGAGCAGCAATCAAATCCACCTTAGTGTATCATAAGCCCCAATGAGATCCGTTATGCATTCCTTTATCTCACTATCCTATGAAGAAAGATCTTCTTTCACATCGAGAAAACATATACGAACGAAAAATATGTTATAAAGCAGCTTTAGAAGCTAGAAACGTCTTGTGTTCCATTTTTTATTTATTGCTTATTCCTTCTTGATGGCAGTGTATATTGTGAAATGCAACCATAATGATGCTAAGATATGACTAAAACTCGAAACCACGGGTAGTTTCGAGCCCGCGATCACTATCTGGTAAGTTATCCGTTACCGGCTGCGCAAACTAAGGCCGTTGCTTTGTGTTTCCCTCAGGCAGTTTTTTTTACCCTGACTAGGTCCAATGCCGATTTGTGCGTCCCAGATCATTCCCGTTGGTGGATGACTGCTGATATCATCGTTGGGGCAAAAAAAAACTGACTGAGAGAAAGACAAAACAAGGGCCTCTATTGGTGCAATGGATAAAATTTGCCCCAAAAAGGGTAAATACGGGTTCGAAGCATTCTGTGATTCAGAATTTTGCTCATATCTCTGCATTCTTGTGGTTGTATTTCACATTATACTTCTGATAGTCTATGAATTCAGGAACTATTACATCGTAGTCATATGTTGGCAGAACAGTGATGAGTACAGCAGCTTTTTCATTCGCAATAGCGTACTTTTGGAGAAGATTGAATGTATTTCTGGCTTTTACAATGACTAGCGGTGGCCTACCGATGTATCGAGCCACTGCTGCAATCCTCTTAAACAGTTCGGATACCCATTTACCGACTCCGGACGGATGGAAGGCTTGGTGAGCCACGGGCGCTGAGATAAATCCCATGTGTGTATTGTAGGGCGCCTCAGAACATTGCGCCACACGCGCCTGTGAGAAGGTAATTTGTTAGATAACTTAACAAGCATTTGAGTCACCAACACTTATAATATGGTTCACAAACGGAACGTTAGGTTCCGTGAGGTAATATGGCGAATTTAATAGAATCTATAATATACTATAATTGAACGACTATAATGAATCCAACCTCAATGAGTCTAGAGCCAGTTTAACTGTCAATGGTGAGCATCTTCATCAGATCCACGACATATTTTTCCATCCTCTGCATGATTGAAATCAAGATGTCCACAGACGGTGACGCTTTGGAACGGTCTACTTCCCAGTTACTGAAGAAAAAGGGTAATTAGAAAACGGCAGCAGTTTATTCGTGATCAACCACAACCTAAAACTTTCGAAAAGATGATTAAGGAACCTGATAAACACCGCAATTGGACAACCCATTTGAGAAATTTTACAGTCCGCGTTCCAGATATCTGCTTCAAGTAAGGATTTGAAAAGTGCAAGAAACTGTACTTCATATTGGATATTTGCGAAATTCTTAGATCAGTTTCCCTTCACTAATTACACAGATTAACTTATAAAATATATTCATCATCATTCATGTTCTCGTTCATCTGAAAAAAAAGCCAGTTAGTGGTATTCAGACCCTAAATAATTTTCTGGATAACACATACCATCAACCGGTCTCTGAACGTATTTCGCCAGAACGTCGGTGTATCGTCGCACTAAGACAGTGTTGAAGCACCCAAACTAGCTAATAGTTCGTAGACAGTTGCCACTCCACCCTCAGTAGTAGACATGCCTACTTAAATTGCGCTCACGATCCTATTTTCTAAATTTAAGCGAAGAACAATAGGTTATACGTTCAAAAGTAATCTGAGTTATTCTGCCCTAAGTACGTATTTGTTCTGACAGACTAGAAGATTTCTTTGCAGAGATTTACCACTACAAGTCGTAAATCTTTAGTGCATAGTCTGACACTAATACAAGCAACCTAAATTGCACTACCCCTGTGAACTGCCGGGGCTTCAGACCATTGTAGTCTTGAACGTTTGCATAAAAATATTGTACGGATGGTCTTAGACACAATATGGAACTTGACAAAGATTAAGAACGAAAATATAACGATGTTAACCCTTCCTTATTAACTTCAAAATTTAGCTGGAAAAGACAACTTTAGACGAAATCCCCAATAGAGATCCAGTTCATTACATAGAGCAAAATTACCCTTGTAGATTCCATCCTTTGAAATTTTCAACATTTAAGGTAATATCCAAAATTTGTGCAAGATTCCCATCAATTTTTATCCCTATACTGTACTTTTCGAAACATTAAATTACCTACAATCATGTTTAACTTGCAGCAAAACCTGTAGCGTCACAACTACAATACCACAGTTAATAGAAGAGTGAATCATGACGAGATAAGAGCCAAATCTCGTCGTGATTCGCTCTTCTGAGTTGAGCCATGGAATTTCTGTACATAATACCCGTATGCAAGAAAACTACGGCAGCTTAATAAACACCCTGGCTCCACATCCTTAAAATATCAGTAGGATTAGAATGTGGTGCATAAAATTGAGCAAATCATTAATATTTGTCTTTTCATGCTTTTTAGCGAAAAAAGTTATAAAGTTGTAGTAAAAATAAACTTATGTTACACGAACGCACTTATAAAACCGATGTCTCTGCTGTTTCACAAACGGGATTCTTGGGACGGGACCAACATGGCGACCTTCTTATTAATGACAGGGTATATATTGCGAAAAATAACTTCAATGATGCTGAGATATTTTCAAAACTCCAGACCTAAGGTGTCTGCGGTAGGGAACGAACGCTCTATTATCCTTTCCGGGGATTAAAACGTTCACCACCACACTACGCGGATCCTTCGTTTCGCCTGTCTCTGGGTTTAGTTCTATCGATCAGTGCCATCAACAATCACCCGGGATTGATCAGGGAGCCCACATCGGAATTGAACCCCCAGTTATGGTGAAGTTGTAGTTAAATTTATAATGTTTACTTTTTTTAAAATTTTCTGCTTCCTATAATTTATATGGCAAGGTATTAAGAGAAATACAACTACAGTATTGTTGAGACATTTGCAAAACACCGGATCGCAGGTGCCCGTGAACGATGACGGGTGATTGGTGATGGCACTGATCGATAGAACTAGCCCAGAGACAGGAAAAACGAAGGACGCGCATGGTGTGGTGGTGAACGCCTTAGCCTCCGGAAAGGGTAATAGCGCGTTCGTTCCTCACAGCAGACACCTGCCGTCGCAGTTTTGCGAATATCCCAGCAATATTGTGGTAGTATTTTCTATGCTCACACATATTTTGTCCCCAAACAGACCAACTCCATCTCGCTGTAATACATTTAATTTTTCTTCTCCGGGAAATTTTTAAATTTTTTGGGCACACAAGCAGACCAAAGATTCAACTGGTTCTTCTCGATGTTCTGTGAAACACCTCAAAGCGCCATTGTGAGCAGTAATGTTACTAATAGCATACCCACATAATGTTGTTTCCACCTCATTTGTTCCGGTCTTTTTGTTTTTAGGCGAAGCTATAAGCACAAGTCGTATACCAGCGAATATTGCAAATCACAGCCTGACTATTCTCTTACTGAAGCAACTATGAGTCACCTGAACATACTTGCCAAGTACCCAAGTTCAGCAGTTCTCGAGAGCTTTTGCAATGCATTTCGTGGTACAAACGGAATTATCGCCTCCGTAGGCCACAGCGTTTGGGTTTTCGAGCTCAACAGTTCTTTTACAACTGAACAGCTTCCTGATTTTAGCACCGTGATTAGCGGTCTCTGATTGGTTGAACTTGAACGTTTCCATCAAGTGGACGCATTCTAAGTACACTTGGCATAGTGTCCAAGAATAGGTAGTCCTCACGCATCATAGAGATCTATTAACCAACAAGAACAAAACAAAACAGATGACTTAATAATCTGGATGTCAACTGCCAATCAAGAATTGTTTATTCCCGATACTGAGAAACATCAGCCTCAGACGGCAAAAGAAAGGAAAGGAAAACCGGAGTAAGTTGAGCAGCGTTCTTTCGAATGGAATATATTTCGCCCATTTGTGTCTACATTCCATCAGTATTGATTTAGGAAACGCGCTACTCAGCTTTATTATGATGAAAAAGCGCGCGCTTCCACGATTTAGACGTACTCACTTATTTGGATACTTGGATGAACCGTCCTCACTGGTTGTGCAGCCCTCAGCATGATCTCCATTTCTTGGGTGTTCTGCTAGTTTAGCCATTGTGGTTCCTTGGAGTCTCCAGGTCAGCCAGGAAAAAGTCTGCCCCAAGTCGTCACCACCACAAGCAGTCGCTGGCCTTGTAGATCAGAGGGAGATTTGCCATCAAGTGACTAATTTGATACCATGATGGTGATGGATCCTAGTACCGTTTTACACTTAGCTAACCTTCTTGATGGAAACGCCGGACTCCTTCTCAGCTTGGAAGACCCTGTTAGGTGGATGAATCCCGTCGTTCTACATCACAGCGCGACACGCAGGAACACCTCCCAACCACGATGACGCGAGAAACTTTTGGGAAGGTTCATAATTATTAGAAGTTTGAATATTCATGCCCACTTGTTCTGAAGAAGAAAATCGCAGCACGTGTTACCCTCCTGATGCAGACAGTACTTAAATTTTACGTGACGACTAATTCTGAACAGTGCCTAGTTCGTAAAGTCGGCTCATACAAAAGTACTCACTTTCTGGTGACCGCCTACTCCACTGACCTCAATACACATTGAGTGCTAAGCTCTTCAAAAATAGAAGCTCTAAGTACTCTTACCCTCCGAAAAAGTCTCTGTGGAAAACTAACAAATCCATCTAAAAACGAATTTTGAATAAATTGTGCACATGTAGGATGCAGCGTTTCTCCTTTGAATCATGGCTGGGTAGTGTTGCTCGGCGCCAACCTATGATATAATGCCTGGGGTCATCCTTAGCAGTGTCTAGCACCTAGAGTATTTCAACGTTCTCAGATCGAAGAGCTGATAGTAGACACGCTGTCTTCAAAAACATTGAAGAAAGAGTATCGCAGTACTAGAATTTGTTGTACTACATGATTGTTGGAGCTAGTGTAACTGACTATGCAACTATTGTTCGCGAAGGAAACAAATGGGGTCTACTGGTACCTACTTAAATTACTCCAACATGAACGAGATCTAATCCACAGGTATAGTTGTAGCTTTCTTCGGACTGCGTCCGGAACAATCAGTGTGGCCGAGAATCCAGTGACTTAGTATAGAAAGTACAGCAAAAGAAACACACTTGTAGGAAATGCATCGAATTCAACGCACACCGTCGCGCTTGTGCATCGTCAAAGGAAAATACACGATACAATCAATATGAGTTCCAGCACTGGACAACGATTACGCAACAGGTGACAGCCACGGTCTAAACTCCAGGTACACATCTAACAGATACACTATTGGCTTAAATAATAGGCACAAAATCTTACAATTTATTTCCAGTGCAAACAAATTAGTCATTGAATGAACTTATTTCACAGGGAAATTTACAGCATTATGAAAAATTCGAGCTGCGATCTTTCAAGACACAGCCAATGGACAGCAAGTACTTCAAGTCATCAAGGAAAAATGACACCTGAAGATGAAATAGAGTAGAAAACTAACAGCGAGAAAACGAGAACAACAACAGTAACCAAAGCAAAAGACAAAAACATTTAGAGATACTACAAACCTAAAAGCCCAAAAAATTGAAGCCATCATCTTTGTCACTCGAACTGTCATCGTTAGAAAACCCTCCGAAATTAAAATTAAATACATTGTCCTCATCATCTTCACACTGAATCGGATTACCAATATCGAAAACGAAGTCACCATCAATCCCTAATGAAGTTATTATCTTTGCAAGAATTTTCTAGCAATGCAAAAAACAGCTGGAGTGGCTGACAAACCTCCCGATGACCCTACATCAGCTGATGCCCCAAAGATTGAAAAGCACTCTGCCGCTAAAACAAATGGTTGATGCACATACACTTAAACGAGAAAATATAACAAATTTCATATCTGCAGATCCAGAACCTTCGCTTTGTCTGTCTCTTTCCCGTCCCCCATTTGTAAATTGTTCCATAAGAGAAGAAAAATCGGGACCAGGATCTGCATCAATATAACAACATTGTTCACGTCCGGTATAAAAACTCTGTTCTTACCATTGCTATGTGAACTTATATTCAAGAGCATAGTTGGGTCGAATTCTTCATCGTCAGCATCACTGCTAAAAGTAAACGGCATCTCATCCAGCATTGGAGATGGTGGCCTATTCAGTAACTAGAAACACAATGTGGTTGAAAAGCAGTGTTTTCGTATCTCAGCAATCTACAACAACGTACTGACAGTGCTTAAGAAAGCATCAATTTCTTGACTTGCACCGAAACAAGGAGAGGGAGGTGCAACACCAAGAACGTCGTATGATGAATTCGATGAGGAAGTTGCTTCTGAAAAATTCAAACCTTATGGAAAGGTCTATTTAATTCATTCTTCCATTAGCGGAGTGAAAAAACTGATGCAAATCAAATACCTTCCAGAACGAACTAAGATCTCCATTGAGTTAGACCCAGCAAACCAAAGACAGAACAAAAACACCGAAAATCTCAGACGAGTAGCTTTCTCATATGATTCCGTTGAAGTGACTTCAATTGAATTTTAATGTGACCTCGTTGAGCTGCCATTACCTTCGTCAGTGGACGAGTTTGCCTGACATGCAACCTTTTTCGAGGAAACCATCACTGTGCCTACACAATCTCCACTCCTATGAAAGACCGCCTCTTCCGCAGTAGAACCAATGCTCGTTTGTGACCCGGTGCACTCCACATGAATAACAAATTCCTGCAAACCAGGAGGTCGCGCTCGGGCTAATCACTGTAAAATTAAAGACACATCATTCAGCGCACTTATCAAAAATATTCTACCTAAAAGTTCTGGCGAAAAAAAGTAGAAATAATATACATATTGATTTCCTTCTTCCACAGCAGTACAATCATCTTCAGTCGCCGCACCTTCTACATCCAAATCATCGTCCGAGAAATCTTCAATACTAACTTCCTAAATTAACAGTTTAATGTGTGAAGTAGAAATACGTGACCATAGTAAACATAGCAATTGCATTTGAAACAAGAAATCACTTGAATCCCATTAACATCCATGTCTTCACCAACGTTTCTGTTCATAATGTCATTATCCAATACTGCTTGTGCTTTGGGTTCACCAGTAGTACTCATTACCTGTTAATATTATCAGTTAAAAATATGAAAATGAAAATAATAGGTAACTACCATAAAATAAGATACATTAATTGACACAAACATACCTCAACCCTCAACATTCATTCGACGAGATCGATCCATCTTCTCGAGACCGTAGATGGACCCGCGTTCAATCTCACCCCGAGTCTTCTCTTCAGAACCATTGCAGCGTGACTGTAACCATACATGTCAATCGGAGCAACAATTGCAGAGGGGACGCTACAGTATACACTCCTGTGTCCGGAAACTTTACAAAGAGCAAATCTACCGGTAGTGATCGGCGGTCTACTTGTCGTTACATTCTTACCACAATTAGTAGAAATAAAGGATCTCACGTGACACATCAAAGTTTAATAACATTTGTTTTTATCAAATGAGCAGAACACGGGTTGGAAAATTTGACGCACAACAGGGACATATTTACACCAAACAGATGTCACTCCAAATATGAAATGATAAAAAGACGACCTCATTCGCTCTGGAAATCGATTGCGATTGCTGGGTCACATAGTTTTCGACCGCATCAGTGCGAGTCTTCACAACATGCTCTTCGATATTCTGAGCAAACTCTGTAGGTGGTGATCTGATAGAGCTTCCCGTTGTTGGTGCTCTATTATTGCTGGATTCTTCATCTACAGGTCCTAGCGTTCTTCGATCCAACCGTTGGTCTGAGCAATTCACATTGAAAGACATGACCAGGGCCTAAAAATTATGTTACGAAAATGTATAGTAGACAGGTGCCGAACTTCCTACACGTGAACTTCTTCGACCAAAGGGCGTTATAATCATATCTATGTGGAGGAAATTTGCTACTTATAGTGACAACTACTAAGAGGGAATCCTGAGTTTTGTTCCTACACTTGTCCATAGCAAAATGCTTTATACATCTCAACTTCTATAGTCAACATGTCATCCAAAAAAGTGACTGTTCAAATATTGATAAGGTCAGAGCATAAGAACACATTGAATAACATCATTGAAGCAAATTTAACATACAGCACACAAACTTGTGCACAGAAAGCTTCCATGTCAAGATCACGTTTTTTAAGCAATAAACCATCGACATGAACGATACATCAAAGACATATTCAGATGCACCTGACTTTATTCGTTACATTTGTTTAGCCTAAAACTGACTAGTGTAGAAAGGAGAACTACTTTTGGAACTGCGAGAGAAACCTCTAGTTGTTCAAAGGCCTTCCTAGCCTCGTCAAGTTTTCTCTGCATCTCCAACGTACGAAGAGTGATATTCGCAAACTTAACCATAAAAAAACGGAAGGAATTAGTAATTTGGAATTCTACTTTGACAAAATACGGGTAAATAATCAAAATTTGAAGGTGTCCGCGTGTTAAACGAATATTCTTTCTTGAGCCGCGCCTCCTCCTCCTCCAGTTTGTTGTATTCCAACCTCAACTCCTCTAGACGCATCTCCAATGCCGCCGGAGCATTTTGCTCCTATAGTTCACCACAAATAGAAAAAAAATAAAGAAATTGAAACTATAGATAAGGGTATTTACGATGTTTCGTTGGGCTAAACGTGGTCACTGAGCCACTGAAGCTTGCACCTGATCTTCCAGCTTGCAAGTTGTCTGTAGAGAAGCCCACATGGCATTGCTTAGTTCAACTTAAAAAAATGTCTTTTTTAGTGTGATTTAATGGAAATAAAGGTGTAATAAATTTCATAGTTAACCAAAATTATAAAAATGAACGAATACAGAGGTGAATAATTGAATTTGCAGACACCATACCTCATTACTCAGCTTTTTGCATTCTTCCTCCAACTCCTTCCGCTGGCGGAGTAAGCCACCCGTCTTAGTGCGTGACCTTAGAAGTACACTTATCTTCACCTAGTCGACCAACAGACTTTAAAAAAAGCAAGCAACACAAGATCTTTTTTCTGTTCGAGTTAAATGGTCTTCTCAATGACAAGGTCTTTAAAATTTAAATTGACAAGTTAAAATAACACGTTCAAAAAACACACCCACACCTTACCATTCGTTACAGTTCTCATCTTTATTCGTTATTTTAGGAAAACAGGGGTCCCAATATTCTCCTCATTCAAATATTACACCTACTCGCCAATAAAAGGATGAAGCCCTCGGAATTGATCAATCCCTGAGAGATGCGCCATGCATTCGACCTCATTAAAAACCGTTGGAAGTGACTGAATACATATCTGGCCTCTAAAATGACTCGCGGTGGCCTAGCGATATATCGAGCCAGTGGTACTATCCTTCGCTTGAGATGCGGAAATCGATACCATGTGTTTTGCAGCGCGCCTGCGACTACTGCGCTACATGCGCCCTTTACTTAATCTTCGTCATGGACTTCAGTAATCGCTAGTGAACGCTGTTGGTCCTCTGAGTGTTCCACTTCTGCTTGAGGAATTGAAGGCTATATCATGCATTTGTGACGGGACAGGATTGAGAGGAATATACTGTATAGCATAGAAATAACACCCAATATATGAGTCACTCTGTGAAAAAACAAATAAGGAATTTGTGATACTGATATCAGCAGATAGATAAACCATATGTTGGAAAGAAAACTGTAGACGAGAAAACCATCTTGTCGTCAATCCGAACACTGGATGCTGCGCTTCATTTCCTGAATACAAGTCCATAATTCACTTTGACACGCCCCTTTTCCCCTTAGAAAAAGGAATAGACATATTAACTCGTACCCCTTTTGAGTAGTTGCGTTTCTTCTTCTTTGCCTTCATAGTATATCTTTACTAAATTCGGCTAGCAGTATAAAACCCTCGACGTTGATCAATCTCTGAGAGGATGCGACATGCATTCCACCTCATCAAGCATCATTGGAGGTGATTGAATGCATATCTGACCTAAACAATGATTTAGGGTGGGCTGCCGATGTACTGAGCCAGTGCTGCTATCCTGCCAGACAAATCTGGTACCAATTTTCCCACCCCGGAAGAGTGGAAGACTTGGTGAGCCTAGAACGGGGAATCGATATCGTAGGTATTGCAGGGCGCCTCTAACCACTGCGCTAAACACGCCCTTAGAGTAAGTACATACATAGGAAGATTCACACGTGTTGCAATTAGTTACAGAAATATGTTTTTCAAAAGACACTTCCGTTAGAGTGAATCTGTGCTTCATTATTTATGTTCAAGAATTTCCCTAAACCAGCATACCTATGAGGTAGATACACAGTTCAATGGCGACGATGTGAGTTGTACTTGAATAATATATGCAAATGTTATTTTGTTGAGAATTATGCATTGTCCCACATTTCGAATAAAAATTAGACGTTGCGCCAATGTATGATAGAGTATTTGAGAACTTTACAGACTTACTAAAGAAACTAGGAGGGAGTATTACTGCCATCATAAATATGTTTATAAAGAAATTAAATAATAAGAGTGATAAAAATGCAAGAAAATAAGTTTTAAACTTTAGCGAAAACTGTGAAGCTCCGTAAGGAACGAACCAATCTGTCCATGCGAATCTCTGGCTGTACTTAGGAAGACAAAGTTGCCGCAACTAAACTAATGTCTGCAGCTTCAGTACCAATGTAGTCTCACAATTCGATCTTCAATATCTTGCTTAATCGAAGAGCAACACAAAATGATTTAGAAAGTTTAAATAAAGAACTAAAATTAACCTACTTCACTCACAAATCACCAAAATGGTCCAAGAAAACCATGCGATCGATACGACCAAATACCAAAAGGTCTTCTGAAGAACAAGACCTTGTAACAATCACCTAAAAACATTGGTGAACACTAAAGTGTGAGCAGGGCAAATTTGGCCCTACTGTTGATCGTGAAAGCCACTTTCTAATTATGAAGTGCTAACATCCATGATAAAATTACGCCTTTTAGACACAAAAGAAGCACCTATATTTAATTCTTCAATTAGTTGACTCCAACTACGCAGTCCTAAGCAAATTAAATCCTAAAGTTGATGAGGATGAATCAATTGAAAACGCCTGGGCTGCTCAATAACTGGACAATGATTCAAGAGAACCGGACCCTTGATACATTAGAATTATAGGTCTATAAAAAAAACTAAGCAGATCACATTTCATCGTTCTTATAAGCAGTAGTCTAAAAAGCCTATCAAGTCATTGAGCTCCATGGGGACAAATCTGAGAAGTAGAATAAACTCAAGTGCCTGCATAATACGTCGTTAGCGTATCCCATATAACACTAAGGTCCAAACGACCAATCACAATTTGTTACCTAAATGATGCACAACTCGCAATCACCATCTGCCACTGAAAAAAGACAACAGCAACAAAACCCACGCTCCTTTTCTTTTCAATAAGTAAATTTCAGAGTCCGGAATTCTCAACATGCTTGCGCTTCTGGAATAGGTTAATAAAAAAACGATAACAAACCTGATTTGATGTCCTACAAAACAACTGCCTTCGACCAACACCAACAATTTTCGCAAAGTATTCTGAAGATAACAAAAAGTGGTTGCAGCCCCAGAAAAGAGAAGTCGGAAAAAAGGAAATTCAGGACTACACACTATTAATGACAAAAAACTCTACGTCTTGTAGTAACTCCCAAGTCCGACTTTCCCTTAACTTCGGCATTGACTGAATAATTCTTTGTACTTCTGTTCAGCAAATACGAAGTGTTACTTTATTTCATTATTTACGTACAAGCTGACGTTTCGGCGGAATTCGCCTTCCTCAGAGCCTGGAAAGGTCAAGTTGACAGCAACCTATTCGGCCAAACATCTTCATAATCATACAAAGAAAACGCTAAACGAAGATCTCAATCACATTAAACATAGCTTTCCACACTCACAGCTTTCTATGATGCTTCTACTAAGTATGTCGCGTGAAGACCAACCGCACAGAATTCCCCTGGAAGTGTAATGTGCCCCTCCCATCAGAATAACAGGCTTACATAATGTCCAATATCACGCGTGACAATGAGGCGTTCTTCCCTGCGGTTCATTTTCGGATTTCTGGAATTAATCCAGATATAGCAGTTGCTAATGGAAATTAGGCTTTCGAGTCAGTCCTTGGCACCTTATGATCACTAACTTGGTAGGATGCTCGACTTCGTAGAAGTTGCCACACGGGACTTTTTCGTACTTGTCGCAGAGCAATATCTCAAACTTGGGTAATCAAACCGTTTATAACAATAATAATTCAAGAATAACGAAATATAAACAATGGTACAATACAGACGGCAATATTGTATGATGATCAATAAATGAGGGTAATGCGGGTTAGTATCTTTGCTATAGGTACAGAGCTACATGACAGCAATGTTAATATACAACAGTTACCACATACAACAAGAGAGAACACTTTGGATTGACTACAATGCGCATTACACGTGATGAACAGAGGGGGGAGGACGAATACAGTATTGACGCACAGGGCTCTTTAAATATCTTCTAAGGAGGCGGTGCTTTGGCACAGGTCCAGAACCTTTACCGAAAACACCCATCAGCTTGCGTCTCCAGCTCCTCTGTGATCAGATGACTGAGGACGGTTTGTCGGACAGCTTCAAGCCCCTTTGTGTTACCGTACCCGTGATGGTTTGGAACAGATGCAACACACAAAAGGTTCCGATTATATAAAAAGAGTGTGGTTCACAAAGGACGTTTACGACAACCAAAGTTTCTCTCAACGAAGTGAAAACGTTTACATGCTGCAAGATCGCAAAGCGATGCTACAGCCCACGAATATGGTTGCCACAGATCTACGATATGATGAATGAATAGTAACTATTCTGGCAAAAGTTGCTATAACAGAACGCCTCGAGAGTTTTGCGCGCTTGTGTTCTCGATTCCTATGCGAGGATCCTGACACGTACCTCACAGTCCTCCCCGTTATTTCTCTGGGTCCTATGCGTGCCTAATGGGGTATTTAGTTCACGTTTGCCGACTAGGTGTTCTTTTATGCGAACACAGAGGGTTCTGCCCGTTTCGCCAATGTATTCATCTCCGCACGCCTTACAGGATATCAGATAAACTACACCCGAGCTCATGCAATCACCGTCTCTACCATTGGGGCAAATTATGCAATTTTGCGCTGCACATAGACGGTCGTATAGGCGGTTACGAACTAGCTGGCGTATTAGATTACTCGGTGGTATTTCAATTATCGTTACCGAATTCTCTAAACTGGCCCTTCTTAAACAGCGTTTTATAGGTGCACTTACTTCATTTTAAATGAAGGGCAATATAAACAGGACCTTATTGTCGCTAGAGTTATCGTTGGGGTACCTTTGGTTTTCTCTACACCTATCTCGAGCTACGGTTTCGTAGCCATTAAAAATGGCTATTTGCTGCGCCAAGTTCCGGGACTCCTCTCTCTGTTGTCTTCCTGTGCACACGCTGGTAGCTGTTCGAAACATGTTTCTCACAAGCGCCCTTTTCGTGTGAGAGGGATGAGAGGAGAAGTAATGAACTAGGATGTTTTTACTACTTGGCTTTCAATACCACTTCGTAATGTAGCCGTTTTGTGATAGGTTAATTTGCACGTTAAGAAATGTAAGCCAGTTTTCTTTTGGTTTCTCTCGGGTGAACTCCAAACATCTGACCATTCCTTCTTGTGTTGAACAAATGATCAAGCAGTCATCTATATATCTACAAAGATATATCTACGGAGAAGATTTTGAAGTAGGAGTTACGATCCTCGCGCTAGAATCGAGAACACAAGCGCGCAAAACCCTAGAGGCATTCTGGATTAATTCGAAGAAACCGAAAGTGAACCGCAGGAAAGAATGCCTCATTATTACGCGTGATATTGGGCAGTATATAAGACTGCTATTCCGATGGCAGGAGCACATTACGCTTCCATATGAATTCTGTGCGGTTGGTCTCCACGTAACCTATTTAGTGGAAGACTCATAGACAGCTGTGAATGTGCAAAGACTCTTCAACATGTTCTCTGTTTGGTTATGGAGGTGCATGGCCGTGTAGATTGTAATCAACCTCACCGTTCCAGGCTCTGAAGAAGGCGAAATCCGCCAAAACGTCAGCTTGTATGTAAATAAAGAAATAAAGTAGCACCTCGTGTTTGCTGAACAGAAGTAGAAAGCATTATTCTACGTATTGTATCACTGCAACCCAAACAGAATTCCTCCAATTCCCTTCCTTGAGAAACAAAGTAGCTCAACCGCTCACAAAGAAGGGATCAACCTGAATCGAGAAAATGGACTTAAGCCTCCTAACTAAGAGCAAGGCGAAACAGAAACACATCGCGTAATTAGATACCACACCAGCTCTGAAATCCAAGCTGCTATATCTAATTTGAGGTCTCCTTTTATAAAACTCACCATGAATCGCCTACGACGGCAAAAGATATTAATCTATAGCTGAGCATGAACAAATTAACATAGACCATACGGCAATGGGAAATACCTCACATTAGAGAAATATGGCTTTTTTCCAAATACAGTAAGATTCACAATGAATAGAATGCTAAGAAGAAAAATGAGAACGTACAATTGAGATTTCCTGATTCGTATGGGCGAAGAAGCCGGAGCACGATCCTCTCCTTCCTTACTGAGTGGTTTTAATATCAGTGGCAATTTCTCCATTGGATAAATGCTTCACAATAGAACATCATCCCTTGGCCTACTATAAGATGACAATTGTCGAAGCATACTTGAAAATATAAACCAAAAATAATAGATATTTGAACGAACTTTGAAACTACCTCGAAGATTTAAGTGTGTCCTAAGAATCATCACATATTCCTCTTTAACAGCAGCACAGCAAGGCGTCCCAGAAGCCTAAAAAGATACCACCAGAATGGAAACATGATGGTAAGCCAGCTAAAGCAAGAGAGATGAGTAATTCTTTTCATAGCACACTCCGCCGATCGAACACAAGAGTAGATACCTCGTGATGCTAACACTGGCACTAGAACCATTTACACCAAAAAAGAGGAACAGAAAAGCTTACAACACAGTGCAACGGTCAGCGGTGGTCTGCGATGCATGTGGTCATTGGTACCCTATGGCACCGTGAGCCGGCCTAATCTACCAGCAGTTCTTTGTCGGCAGACTGGCAAAAACTCGTGAAGAACAGATAAACACTGGTTTTGTACATGGCAGAATCACTGTAGGCCACAACATTGGAAAAACATGCACTCAACCATTTTTGCGATGCTTAACGGAGTCGAATGAACACATGGCGCATTCTTTGTTCCACGCTGAACGTTTTATGTTTGGTAGGAGATTTAGATTTTGTATTATAAAATAATGGAACAGCACAATGTCTACCTGAGATTTCGAATGAAGTAGACCTAGAGTTTACGTATGTTTAAATCGGAAGGCTACGCTATTTATTCATTGAATATTCACTGGAATCAAGCGTCGAGAATGCACTAAACTTTACTCCAATGTGGAATCTTATCCCATCTCCAAAAGTGCCCTCAGAATGTAACAGCTCGACTTCCATAGAAATACTGTAGTTTGGAATAATCAATTTACCTCTTTTCCCATCCTTGAAACAGCTGATATAGAAAATACGAGTGCAAAAACGAAAGTTCTAGTTACACAGCTATTATTGGCTAAAAAACACCATATAAAAGTCTAGCAACTCACTTCTTGAAGTCATTGAGAGATACTTGGACACCCATTTCCGTAACCCTGCATTTTTCGCTTCGAAATAACTGCATAAAATGATAGTCAGTTGAGTTTGCCGCTACCAGTCTTCCGTAATGGTCTGAAAATGCAATTGATGCCCATCAGTTAAAGGGAAAGGAAAACTATATTAAACTTCAGGGGAAAAATCGTGCAATTCCATAAGAAACGAACCTGGCTGCCCATGCGAATCTCTGGTGGTAGTTAGAAAGACGAAGTTACCACAACTGAACTGACTTCTAGAGCTTCGCCACCAATGCAATGTCACAATTCGATCTTCAAACAATTTTTTCAGCACTAGAATTAACATGCTTCTTCATTGCTAGAATGGTCCAAGAAAAGCAAAAGACCAATACAACAAAACACTCAAAGGCCTGCTACGTACAGTGCTCCGTTAAAATCATCTAAGAACATTGTTCAGCAATAAAGTGCATGCAGGGCAAATTTTTCCCTACTGTTCATCGTAAAAGCTACCTTCTATTATAAAGTATTAGATTCCATGATAAAATTACGTCTTCTGAATATACAGGAAGTACATATACTTAATTCAATAATTAGGTAACTTCAATCACGATGTCACAAACAAATTAATTTCCTAAAGCTGCTGAGAATGAATCAGTAGAAGCTCGCTGGGTTGCTCAATAACTGC